GTGGGGGGGGGGGGCTACAGACCTTTCATTAATATATTGGTTCTTTCATTAATATATTCTGCCCTTTGCCTAGAATGATACTCTGTGAGGAGAGATAAGCATTCTAAAAGAAAAGAATAGTGTGGACATGGGGAATACTGCACATGGAAGAGATAGTGCTTTTTTGGGGGCAGGGGCAGTTTTAAGGTACCTAAGTAGAAGACCCACACTAACCTTCAAAATTGACAGAGTTCAAGAAATTCAGTTCTACTGGTAACGCATCAGCTTATAGGAATAAAGTAAAATGCTAAGAAAAGAAGTATCAGAAAACATTTTTGAACTAGATTCCGTATCGAAAACTATTTCCTAAAATCTTGAAGAATTAAATAAATCTGTATAATATTTCAATGTGTAATAAGTAACTGTAAATTTATAGAAAGGTCAACATTTATTAAAATTCATAATTGTACTAAAAATTCAACAGATTTGTAAGAAACAGGGTTTAAAAAATCCCAGCCCACCTAGATTTTTCATCAAAAACCTGGGGTTTATTGGGGTTTTTGATGAAAACAAAGTTTTTTAAAAAAAAATTCTTTTTTAAAGTTTGGATTGTTACGCTATTATTTTTATTTCTTAAGGATAAGCAGATTGTTACGTAAAAATTTAAATCTACTCAACTAAAAAATCCTTGGATTTTAATAATTATTTTATTCAATCAACATTGCAACGTAATATACTGTTTTTAATCTTTGACAAATTTCTTTATATACTTTTTTTTTAATATTCAGGAAAAACAATTGCAAATTTCTGCACTTAATTTTATAATTCAATATCAATGAAATCATTAAAAATGGAATGCAGATTAGTTTCATACGTTAACTTTTAACAATCTGAATGGCGTTAACTTTTAACAATCCAAAAATATTTTTAAAGAAAACCTGACCCGGGTTTGCAAAAATTCTCTGGTACTTCTTTGGCAAGTATTGTTAATAAATACAATTATATCAGTGGTTACATTATAATAAAATTGTTTTTTAGTATTTTTTTATTTATTGGTTTATTTAGGAAGGTGAATAATTTGCACTGTCACTAGCAGTACATGTATATTTGATGATAAACAATCATACTATTTTTAAATTCCTTAATTTTTCAAAAAAGTACTTAATTTTTTCAAAAAAAGATCCTTAAAAGTGCTTAATTTTTGCTTAGTTGAAAGAGTGGGAGCCCTGGTAAACTAAATCAGCAATTTTTTATCGCTTAAGAGGTTTTTCATGTAAGACAGACATATATACGAAATATCTGAACATTGTGATGCACCTACTCTAAAATGGTTCAATGGAGTTTGACTAGGATGAGGTCCTGATTTCACAATCAGGACCTCATCCTGATTGTAACATCAACTTGGTAAGGAGTGCATGGTTCGTGCTGGAGGCTGGTATAGCTGTATGTGAATCAATATTTTAAGATGCGACAATTCAAACATAATTTTAATGATTAACTCTATTTAATGCATAAGTGCAGATGAAACGTAAAAAAGATAACTCATAAAATAAATATGATAATGGATGACAATGATGATAATAATTTATTGAAACAAACATTAGCAGCATAGTGTTAGCATTAGCAATAAGTAATGAAGTACTAATGACAGCTCTATTTAACTCTCACATAATTTACATAATGTTCATGCCAACATACCACAGCCCAAGTAATTCATTATTCTTTCATCTGTTTAAAAAACATATGCCAATTTATACATGACGTAAAAAGACGTGATATGACGTAGAATTAGATAATCTCGCTCTCTAGTGGCAGACCACACATTCACTAAAACAGATGCAAATAAAACCCAAAATGTAAACAAAACATTGGAATTTTGACTAGTAACATCTCTTGATTGGGGCAATCGGCAACGGAATACTACAACATTTAAATATTAGACCATGTTTGGAGTTAAAACTTGGCAATGCTTGATTACAAACTTCTCAGTTGAAACCAAAATATAACACCTTAATTCTCCTTGAAATAAAACAATAATTGTGCATTTATGAAGAAAGATCACAAATGAGATTGAAGTGTTCTCTTTGCTGATTAAATTTAGAAAAAAAATGCCGTTTTTCTTTCTCTAAGGAAATAAGTTATTTAAAAATAATGCAGATTATTTTACAAGGAAAAACCTCATTCGTTCCTTCTCTACTTCTGGTTAAGTTATTCAAATACATTTTATAATATTTTTCTAGTTTAAAGTATTTTTCATTTCTCATTTAATAAAATCGTTTTTAATTTTACATCAATGTTACTCAAATTTATTTTTTAGTCTCAAGATGAACCTTCTACTGAAGACTCAGAAAGTGCAGAATACATTTATCTAAAAACCTCAAATAAATTATCTTGTATTAAAATGTGTGCAAAACCTTTGCCACCTGCAGTTACAAAATGTTTAGAAGATAACTCTGTGTTACTTAAAATAATAGATCAAATTTACTCATGCCGTGGAGAAGAAGAAAGCATTTTAACACCAGAAACAATAAAGAGGATAAGTGAACTGAAAAATAAATTAAATGATTATTTTCTTGAAGCTGGAGAAGAATGGACCTTTGCTGTTGAACAAATTTGGTCCTTTGGACCCAGAAGATGTGGACCAAATATTCTTCTCAATCGTATTCCTTCTTACAAACGTCCTTCTGTTTGGACATCAAGCAAAACAGATTCTACTGAATCTTTGCATTTCAGTTATGATAGTACTTTTATCAGTGGTTTTCAACTTGCAACTCTTTGTGGACCCCTATGTGAAGAACCTATGATGGGTGTATGTTTCATAGTTGAAGACTGGACTTTTGAGAAAGATGTGTATTTAAATACTGTTGAAACTGCTGAAGAGGATATTTTAAATGTTTCTAAAGATGAAGATGCTTTAAGTAAACATTTAGAAGTATCTGAAACTGTTAGCATTGCTTCTAGTGGTCCTAGTAGTGCAAGTAGTACACCATTTGGACCCTTTACTGGACAAATAATGTCCACAGTTAAAGAGGCATGTAGAAGAGCTTTCCAAGCAAGACCTCAACGGTTGATGTCGGCTATGTATTGTTGCAATATACAAGTTACTACTGATACATTAGGTAAGTTCATTTTTTATTATTTTCATATTACTCATTATGGATTGATTAATTGATTTATTATTCTAAATTGATTGATGTTACTAAATATCAAAAATTAAATAAAGTTAATAACTACTCTCTAGCTTTAATCCCAGCAATTTTGAAATAATCCTATTGGATTGTGATATTTATATAAGAATGGTTTTAGAATTATTGTAACATTAAAAAAGTAAAATGTTTAAAACTTCCTGCTCTCATTTTGATGAATACAAATTTTTCATGGGTAAGGTAAGAAAGACAGCATTTTTAAAAGCTTCAAGCATGATCTTTCAAATTGTGTCAACAGTTTTGACATATAAAATTTTTCAAATCATTTGTTGCTCAAAGAAAGATTGTTATAATGGAGGTAGTATAGAAATGTTCATATTATTTTGTCACCCATCTGTATATATATATATATATATATATATATATCATA